TGGAAAATTAAAAAGATATATAGATTCAAACACCCCATACTAATTTTTGACTTGGAAAAGGCCTGCCTGATTTAAAACTTCTTTATCTACGTAAATTGAAAAAATTCCTATCAAATCTGGATAACAATAATAACTTTTTTAGATTAGTCATAGATACCAATATACCCCAATAAATATAAATTACTACTAGAAATTTTATTTCCATTTTTAATTCATTTTAGGAATCCTTTTTTAGGTATATTTATTCAATAAAAAAATAATCCTTAATAGTACATTTATGTCTCAAATTCTAAATTTTAATTTCCGTTTATTTGCTTTTTTAGCATTTCTCTATTTCTATATTAGTTAAAAAGTAGGGTATAGGTAGTTTTAAAATATTTATTAAAAACTCAAAAATAGAAATATGTAATATTTACTTTTCTATTTTCATATCCGCCTCTTCCTTTTTTTAATTTAAAAATTTTAAATACTTTCAGGCAATTTTAGTACACAACAATTCTGAGACGAAACGAAGATTTTTCAGTCAATTACGGATATCCGAAGATTTCCAAAACCATAAACTTAACTTCTAAAGCTCTGTGATAATTTTTAGGCATTCTTTTCTAAGAATACAAAGTTCAGGCAAATAATTTAAAAAAATTAATTAGTACTATTACGTTGATATTTTAAGTATTTTAGCTCAAAAGTATTTAACAAAAAGTTTAAATGTAGCCAATTTAATTTACTCTTTTTTGTCAAAATACTTGGAAAATGTCCAATAAAATTCAATTTTGGTTTAATTTTGCCATTTCTTTTTAGTTACGTATATACATTTTTCTTTTAAATTTCAAATTAAATAAAAATAATTAATTTAACAAAGAAAACATTTATGTTATATATTTAAATACTTGAAAGAATGTTTTATATGTAAATGTTTAAAAGTATATTTATTTTAATAATAATATTCATTGTTTCCCAAATAAATAAGAGGATCATGGAAATCGATCCCGAAGGTAATACTGAGCAAATAATGTATTTTGTGACCATGTACATATAAAGTCCAATATTGTTTCAAACAATATTTCCTATGTGACATGCATTTTTATCCCTCCTCTTTTGCAACTATATCCCCCCATAACAACAACAATTTGCCTTTGCATCAGGGATATAAATTCATAATTTCGGAACTGATTAGGACGTTTAGTGGGAAATAATTCAATAAATAATTATGGCAATAATTGGCTAGGAACACTAAAAAGAATGATTCTTTTTTAAATTGGAAAAAATTTTTTTTACAATTATATAAATTAAAACACAATATTTATAAATAATTATTTATTCTATACAAAATCAAAGTAGTCTGATTAATATTAAATTGTTTGCTAAATTTTATAAAATAATAATTTTCAAAAAATGTTCTTTTACTTTAAAATGCCCAATTATTTTCTTATTGAGATTTTTATTTTTTATACTTTTCTATATCGCCCACACACACACAAAATTATTATTCATTTATTTCCTCGTTTTTTTAAATAATTTTTATTTAAATATTTAGTAGACAGACTTTTTTTATATTTTTTCTTTTATTTTTAAAATAAGAAGGGTTTTTCAGGAGTTGGTCTCTCTAAGCATTTATTTCCCCCACTTCAAGTAAAAAGAGGAAATATTTAATGACGTTTATTTTAGGAAAGCCCCCTTCACTTTAAAAATATTAAAAAATTTTATGAGCCAAATTTGTCGCAAAATAAACATTTAAACTATTTTTTCTGTTTTCTAAGCTAAATCTAAAAATGTTATCTTTGTAATTTTTAGAGTTAATCTTCGTTTTAACTTTTAGTTGTTCATAAATCGGATTTTTTGCATTTTACAACTTGTAAAAATTTTTAGATTTAATTTGGGGATATTAGATTGGTAATTATATATTTTAAATATTTTAGCCAAAAAATTATAAATTAAACAAATAATTTTAAGACAAATTCTCATCCTAATTTAATAAAAATTTATTTTTTTTTCTAAAATTCAATTTTTTTACAAAAATTAAATTTCTCTGAATATTTTTTTTGTAAATTTTAAAATTAATTAATTTTTAAAAAATTAAATAATTTCTATAAAATTCTTTTATTTTAATTGTAAAAAATCTGTTGTCTTTTGTTTTATTTAATTAATATTAAAAAGTTAATTGTCAAACAAAATTTAATTTATTCTTTCTTTTGGCACTTTACAATTTTCTTTTATGTATTTAATTTATCTTTAATTTATAATAATTCTTTACTCTATTTTTTAAAATAAATTTACAAAATTTAAGCATTCAAATTTTTTGAAAAAAACTTTATAATAGATAATTTAACATTTTTTGAGTTCTGTATTCCAGAATAAATATATTGTACATAATAAATGTTCAAAATTTTAATTAGAAAATAATTTCGAATTAAATAATAAAATTTCCCACAAAAATTTAATTTTAAACTTTTTCCGTTTCAAACAATAATAGGGCTTTAATAAACAACTTTTCTCAAGCTTTTTTTTATTAAATAATTTATTAAAAACAAAAATATAATAAAATCTTGTGATATTTTATTTAATTTTTATTTTCTAATTCTTTTATAAATAATTAATTTAAATATTTAATTTAAATTAACAATTAATTATTTAAATTATTATTCATATACTAATTAAGTTTTTATAAATCCCTTGGGTAAATTCTAAATTTAAAAATACTATTTTTGCTAACTTTTCTCCTGAGATTTATTAAAATATATGAATTAATTATTTATTGATTACATATCTAAATTTAACAAAAAAAGATTTAATTAGTAGTTTATAATAATTATTTTTTAAAATTTTACTTTAATTAAGATAAATCAAAAAATAATTTAAATAATTTCTATCGAGTTGAAAAGTTCTGCTTCTTTCTTGTCGAAAATTATTTTTAAAATTCTGCAAAATTATATCTTTAAATTCTGCAAAATTATACAAAATTTTGGATAAATATTCTTTGCAAAGCAAATGGGTAGGTTTGGCATTTAATAGAAGGTGGTTATAATTAAATAAATGCCTATTTCTTCAATTAATTTTAATTTATTTTTGGCTGTTTTTTCTTGTTAATTCACAATAAATAAATGAAATCATTTTATTTAATTAAAAATGAAAAAACAAAAATTTTTTTCTTTAAATTCTGCAAAAATTTTACCCAAATACTTCAAACCCTGAGAAAATATATTTTAATAGTCTCACAAAATTTTCTCAAATTTATTTTTAAGGTAATGTTGCCTTATTTAAATATATTTAGATATTTTTTTTTATTTTTTATCAATTCTATATTTATTTTTAGAAAATTAAACATTAATTTTAACAGATTTCATAATTGTTCAATTTATATTTTAAAAATAAAAATTTTTATTTGAAATTAAAAACTATTATTTTTAAAATTTTATTTACATGTAAAAATGTTTTTTAATTTTGGAAAATTTTTTGAAAAATTTCTTATTTTAATTTTGTAAAGGAAAAGAGAAAAAATAATGAAAAAAAATATTCCAAAGCTTGATCTCTGGTATTTTCTTAGCTTTGTTAAAAACTACAGAAATTCTTTCCTAGCCATAATTCCTAATTCACGCTATTTTGAAATCGCCTTAAAATGATGGAAATGTAAAATTACAAAAATTAGGATTAGGATTTTTTAAAATTGGAATTTAAATAAAATAATATTTTAACGATTTCCAAGCTATTTTCATTACTCATTTAAAAATATTTTCTAACAAAAATATTTAAAAAATTCTAATCTTTAATTAATAACTATAAGGATAACAATAATTTTGTTTAAATTCCAAAGTACAACAAACATTCCTTTAATTTAAATTGTACTTTTATCCTTCTATTCAAAAATCTCTTTTTACTACAAATGATGTTTGTTACAAAAATTAAAACATAATTAAATTCCATAATTAAATCCGTTCATTCTCTTTTGTTTTTTTTAAATTCCTTCTTTTATTATTTAAAATGTCAAAGATTAAATATTTATTTTTCATTTATTATTATTTTTTAATTAAATAAAAATTTAAATTTTTAACAGATTCATACATTTGGGCACACTTTTTTTTATTTAAACGGCAAATTTATAATATTTTTTTATTCTTAACAAAATGAAATTATTCAACAAAAATATATTTTTAATTATTTCAATAATATTTTTGTTTTTATTATTTTTAAATAAACCTTTTGGTTTATGTAAAGAATTGAAAAGTTTACAAAAAAGAAATCTTCTTTTTCCAAATTTTTTATTAAAAAACAGAAATGAAGGTTCAAATCAAGTGGAGGAAGAAAAGAAAGTAAATACCTATTAAATAAAAACTCATCAAAATTTTAATTAATATTTAATTTAAAGATAATTTATTCGAAGTGATTTAAATAATAATAATTTTTACATATTTTAACAAAATTTAATATTTATAGATTATGCCAAGATCTGTTGATAATTTAGAAGAAGATGAAAACGAAGATAATAATATAGAAGTTGAATCACCTCTTATTGATTCTAGTGATAATGAAAATATACTAAAATCTATTAGAAGACCGTCTTCCCCTTCTAGAAGGTAAAAAATATCGTAAAGGATCCAGAAATCCTAAAAACATCAAAAACCAATATTTAATATTGCCTTAATGTTTTGGTTAAATATTCTAGTTAAGGAGAGGGTTGTCGTTTTCGAGTGGGCCGGCGTTCGAGTCATTTTTTCGTTATTTTTATCGTGCCGGCCCGACCGAGCCGACTTCGATGCCCGACTCGATCTTTTGGGCCGAACCGACCTGGCCCACAACCCTAGTAAGGAGAACAGTTATAATCCTTCTGGATTATTCCCTAAAATTTCGAAATTTCAAACAATTCAAGTAAATTAAATTTTTTCAGACCATGCTACTTCTCTCCCATCCAGTGTTTATTACACAGTCCGGACCATGACAGAAAATTCGAAAACTACCCCGAATTTCAGCAAAATCCTCGTTCATTCCGTGCTTCAAAATTGATAAAAATGGATGAATTAATTCCTAAACTAAAAGAAGAGGAAATTTTGGAGGAAATAAATGAAACAAATTCTGATAATAATAACAAAGAAAATCAACTATTTTCTTCTTTATTTGTAAAAGTTGAGAACAATCAGAATGGCCAAAAAATAAATAATGTGCCGAATTTAAAAGCGGCTTTAGAGCAATTATTAAGAAATGCACAGGGGAGGAAATTGAGACAAAAAACGAGAAGAATGTTGAGACAAAGCAATCCAAATATTGTTTTGCCTAATTTAAATGATAAGGAAATAATTGATTTGGCTAATATTAATGATAAAACAAGCACTAAAAGGGAAGGAAAAGTTGGAATATTTTCTACAAATCCATTTATAAGAAATCAACATCCTTCAAGCAAACCATGGATGAGAGGATTTTGAAAGAAGAAAGGAGGATCTAAATAATTTTTGAAAATGGAATTAACTACATATAAATATATTTTCATGATCTCGAGAAAATTTTATTAATATTTATGTTTGATTAAATTGAGGAAAATTTTTATAAATAAATTGCTGATTTGTCCGAGCTGTTTTTTTGATACTTATTTTCTTTCTTTTCTTCCTTGTTTCAGTTTAATTGACCTAAAAAACTTTGATCTGTGTTGTGTAGTGATAACTAAACAATTTTAATTCTTTAATGGAGGCATTTATTTCATTCATAGTTTGAATTTGCAATAGTTCCAAAAATTTTTTATAATTAAAGAAAAATAATAATTTTGAAACTAGTTTTGACTTCCAGAACACACATTTCATTAAATCTGTTGTACAAAAAAATTTCACTATGTTTTCGTCTTCAAGCGCTGCAATAGCTCTCAAGCAATTAAGCAAACAGTTTTTTTTAGTTTATTTTTACTTATTAATATCTGATAAAATTGTGTTAATCTTATTATATAATTGAGAAGGGTTTGTGTGTTTGTCTGTCCTTTTATAGACAAGTTGCTTTTATAGTAAAATGATTGGGGGAGTGAGGGAATGGGGGCTTTTATAGTAAAGCGTTGCCAGTTGAATTGAGTTGTAAGGGTAAGAATATAGTATAAAAGCAGGGTATTTTGGTCAGTCCTCAACTGCTACCAAAACATTTTCAACTCTACTGTGCTCTTCTACGTAACTTTTGCTGGAGTCCTGTGTCCTCTTGAGTGCTAGGCGTCAACGTTCATTTGTCAAGAGCTAGACGTCAACGTTCATTTGTCAAGTGCTAGGCGTCAACGTTCATTTGTCAAGTGCTAGATGTCAACGTCACTTGAAGTGCTAGGCGTCAGCGTTCATTTGTCAAGTGCTAGACGTCAACGTTCACGTGTCAAGTGCTAGACGTTCAACGTCACTTGAAGTGCCAGGCGTCAACGTTCATTTGTCAAGTGCCAGGCGTCAACGTTCATGTGTCAAGTGCTAGACGTTCAACGTTCATGTGTCAAGTGCTAGACGTTCAACGTTCATGTGTCAAGTGGTAGCTGTCAACGTCACTTGAAGTGCCAGGCGTCAGCGTTCATTTGTCAAGTGCTAGACGTCAACGTTCATGTGTCAAGCGCTAGCTGTTAACGTCACCTGAAGTGCCAGGCGTCAACGTTCATTTGTTAAGGGGTAGGAGTCAACGTTCATTTGTTAAGTGCTAGGCGTCAACGTTAATGTGTCAAGTGCTAGACGTCAACGTTCATTTGTTAAGTGCTAGGCGTCAACGTTAATGTGTCAAGTGCTAGACGTCAACGTTCATGTGTCAAGTGCTAGACGTCAACGTTCATGTGTCAAGTGCTAGACGTACGTTCATTTGAAGCGCCAGGCGTCAACGTTCATTTGAAGTGCTAGGCGTCAAATTTCAGTCGAATATTGAAACCGGGAATTGTGAGACAGGCGGAATATTGAAGAAGGGGGAATTGTGAAGCAGGTGGAATATTTAAGCAGGGAAATTGTAACGCAGGTCAAATATTGAAACAGGTGCAATTGTGAAGTAGGCGGTATTGTGAGAGGCAAGGGGAATTGTAAAGCAGACGGAATATTGAAACAAGATGAATTGTAAAGCAGGAGAAATATTGAAACAGGGGAATTGTGAAGCAGGCGGAATATTGAAGCAGGAGAATGAAGGGTGATGCGAAGCGGAGAATTGTAGAGCAGGCGGTATTGTGAGACAATGGGAATTGAGAAGTAGGCGGAATATTGAAACAGAGGGAATTGTGAAGCAGGCGAAATTGTGAGGAGAAAAATGGGTAAGCGAGATTGGTCGGCCAAAGGCTTTTGAATCGGATCTTAAGACGAATAGTTTTGTTATGCTAGCGGAGTCACACGAGCGCCTTTGTGTATCCTATCAGGTGCATTTATTGGATGCTTTGCTTTGTTAAATGTTTTGGTAATCAGGAACTGTTTTAATGCTGGTCAATGTTTTGATGATCGGGTTTTTATGTTTATGATTGGATTAGGGCCAATTTTGAGGTTGTGATAAGTTGATTTGGAGTTTGTTTTTTGGTTTGTTTTTGCTAGCGGGGTGGGGCGGCCGAAGGCCGACCAACTCCGCTAGTTACACCAAAAAATGAATTTAAAATTTTAAACAATTCTTTAATCATTATAAGATTGGAGAGGCTTTTGAAATTTCAAGAATAAGGAAAAAGTGTTTAAAAAAATGAAAGGGGGAATGAATATTATTTTTAAATTTATATATTTGATTAAAAATAAATTAATTTTTATTATTTTTTAAAATGTTTTAAATAAAAAAAACATTTTTTGTCAATTTAAATGTTGCTACACGTTTCAATTTATTTCTATAGGCTATAATATTTTATTCTGCTTCTCTATTAATATTCACTAATGAATTCCTTACCTAGCTAAAGAAATTAAACAATAGAAAAAATTTTTTATTGAATTTTAAAAACCTATATTACCTCTTCTTATTTAATCCACTTACCTCTTCTTATTTAATCGACTCTACACTATTCATTTACAGCATTCATTACAGCAGTCTTCATTATGCCTTCCACTTAAAATTTTTAACTGAATTTTTTAAATTTTAATTCTTCCCTATGTATAAAGCTTTTAAAAATTTTTAAATTTTAAATTATTTTTAAATTATTATTTTAAATCTGGAATATTAGATATTTTTTAAACTTTAATTTAGAAGATTATAAATGGATATCCATTTATTAATATTTTTGTTAGTAGTAAATTTGCTTTTACTACATTTTTCGGGTAGGAAATACATTATATTAATAAATAATTAAATTAAATATATTTAAATAAAATTATATTTAAAAAATATATTTAAATAAATATATTAATTAAAAAATATAACAATTAAAAATATATATAAAATATATTTAAATAAAATTATATATTAAAAATTAAAAATATACTACTATAAAAAATTTAAAATAATTTTTAAACACCAAGTTGCGGACGATACAGACTCGGAATCCTCGGATGATGAACAATCATCTACATTCAAATGTAGTCATAGGCGTGAGTTTGATCTCAATGCAACAACACAAATTGGAACTATAGTGTTAAACACTAATACCAAACACAGAATTGGAAAGGGAGGATTTGGCAAAGTAAGAAATAAATTTAGATAATTTTAATAAAAATTTGTGTATCTATATAAATATTAAAAATAAATACATATATTTCAACAAATTAATTATCTTGAAATATTTATTTTTGATTAATTATCAAACATTTTCCTTTAATTAAAGACATATCATGCTTATTGGCCCGATGGAAATCGTTGTGTCGCTCTTAAAATTTCAAGCATGGGAAGTAATCAAGATAGGAATGCCGTAACTAATGAAGTTAATATTCTTCAACAATTTAATGGATGGGATGAAAGTCAAAGTCGTATTATAAAAATTTATGGATAGTATGTTTTAATTTATATTAATAGCAATAAGTAAGAAATAAAAATCTATCTTATTTTGGTTTATTTATTCAAGTATTTTTTAATTTTATTATTAAAACTTTTTGATAATTTCAAAGAATTTTTTTATCGAATTTTAAAATGATATTAATAATTTTGAAACTTGACTAGTTTCAAATCCCAGACCACATATTTGAGTAAATTTCTTATTTTAAGTGAGGAGGATGAAGATACAGAAAAAATGTACACTGTTATGGAACTTGGTGGAAAAAGTTTGGCTAGTTATTTTCATGAAAACAAGCAATCCATCCAAAATAATTCTGAGTATTATTATTATTTTGTAAAAAATATACTTCAAGCCGCTGCTTTAGCTATCAAACAATTCCATGATTCTGGTAATAATTTTGTAATTTTTCAAAATTAAACTTTTGTTTAAAATGTAGATGGTATTCATTTGGATATTAAAGCTGACAATTTTATTATTGCATTAAATGAATATCAAAGTGGAATGCAAATTAATCCGTTGAAGTGTAAATTAATAGATTTTAACACTTCTGTGTTTTTAGGAAATGAAGGAAATGCGAATCTTAGTTTGACGACTAAAGATTTTATGGCCCCAGAAATTCGCAAAAAGGATAATTCCAATGTATGTAGTTTAACAAATAATATAAATTTATAATGATTAATTAGTGAATTTATCAAAATTTGTTAGAATATTTTCTTTTGAAAAAAAAATATTTTTATATTTTTTAGATATCTCAAAAAGTGGACATTTGGGCATTTGGTTTAATGGGTTATGAGCTACTTCATAAAGAATTGCCGGAATATTCATCATTGTTCAAATATATGAATATTGATAAAGCATTAAACAAATATCGTAAAAGCGATAAATACAGCACATATTTAGATAACATTATAAAGGTAAATAGAATAGTTAAAAATGATTCAATATTTGAAATAAATTATGATTATTTTAACAACTAAACGATTAACAGGCTTAAAGTATTGTTTAATATTAGTACTATTTAGTACAAATTATTGATTATTACTAGGGTTCAGCGGTACCGGTATTCCGAGAAAAAACCGGTATCGGTATTTCGGATTGATGATACCGATACCGACTCGGGATCGGGATTGAAAAATCGGTATCGCTATTTCCTAAAAAAATTTTAATGCAAAAAAAAAAATAAATTCTTCGATAAATAAATTTATTCCTCATTTTGAAAAAGTATTAATCTGTAGTAAAATGATAAATTAGCACTATAAAGCCATTCTCAAGACAAAAACATCTCAGGAACCAATAGAAGACCTCCAAATCTTTAATCCTCCGATATCATCTTCATCCACGGGTATACCCCAAATTAAACTTTATACCTCAAATCAACTTTGGGGATTAGGTGGGATATCAGTCGACTTTTGGGAGTACTAGGGATACCCCCGATAATCGAATGATATCCCTCAATATGGGGACCAGACCTGCATAAAACTTTTTTTTCATTAGGCTTCGTTCGTTAACAAAACACCTGTGTTTCATTAATGAACATTA